GGTGTACACAAAGGTTACAATCCCTACTAAACCATCAACACTTTCTAATGCAGCTGGAAATGCCCCGGGGATAGCTAAGCCTTGACATCTCATGATTGCAATCAGCTTGATAGCTGAGATGAGCAAACAGATTGGTTGCTTTTTCAGTGACAATGCCATACACTGCTTCAGGACCATCTGAAGAAGAAATATATTAGATAGCTTCTTGAAACCTGGACGTCCTTTGAAATAAGAATAAAGGTGAAAGAAAGTTAAGGACACTTAAGGCGAAAGACACGCTAACTGAAATGAAAAACCGTGCACATTAAGATTTCCTAAATCCATGCACCACTAATTAATAATTACATTATTTTGGGTGGTACAATTTTTACAAAAAAAGGCTTAAAATGAATGTAAAATAGCTCGAATGTTTAATTGGAAAATACTTCTAAAACTTTACATTTATGCATTTTTATTTACTTGGAAAAAATTTAGTAAACTTTGAGAACCACTAATGTACACTGCGAAAAAAAAAAAGTCTGAAAGGTTTTCAGATTTTAAATTACGTCCAAAGGGGCGTTTTTTTAACGTTTTGTGTGTTACCTTTATTTATTAAATATCATGTTCTTTGCACTTAAAACCATAAAATTCAGTTCAACAGCAATGTCGCAAAATAATTATAAATGATCTTTAGAATTTCCGATACACAGTTTCGCGCTCTGGAGATAGAAAGGTTCCCCCCCCCTTCGTAGAATGTTGCCATTGCTCGCTTTTAAATCGTTGAGTTACTTGATAAAAAATTCGTTAAAGTTTTACAAAATTTGAATATATTTAAAGAAATTAAATAATGAAGAATTTGCATAAATGTATGTATGTTTTTCGCACTGTGATAAAACAACGGTACCTAGAGCCATCCAATTTTGAATAACGTAATCCTTCCCCATGTATGGGTATCTGGAAGCACTAATCTGAAATTTGGAATTTGTTTTATTATCGTATTTATATCATATTTTGTAAAACTTTAAAGAATTTTTTTATTAACAAACTCAAGGGTTTCAAAACGAGCATTGGTCACAGAAAAAAAAAAAAAAAAATCTCCAACGCGCGAGACTGTGTATCGGAAATTCTAAAGATATGTTCATTTTAAAATTATTTTGTGATACTTCTGTTGAATTGAATTTTATGGTTTAAGTGCGAAGAACGTGATATTTATTAAATAAAGGTAAAAGGTCCCTTTGTGCGTAATGTAAAATCTGAAAGCTTTGATTTATTAAATTAGTTAAATTTTATTGCTCATTTGATGGATATCTTTTGCTCATCGTTTAATGTTGTCATTCGATTAATGTTATCCAAACAGCCGAAAACAAGTATGGTCGCACAAAGCCGCGCTTATTGTATATTTGGAATTTATAATACATGAGGATAAGAAAGCTCACTCATTTTTGTCTCAAACGACTTTTGAAAGATAAGCAGTATAATTAACAACTAAATACAATAATATGAATAATACCCGTCTTAACGCATATACCCACTGGGCTTGGAAGCTCACGATCATAGGGACCTCGTGCTAATAAATACATGTTTAATATTGTTGGCCATTTAGTACATTCTATGAATTGTTGTACGGGCCTCAACACACTGGTTTGTTCAGGATGGCTATAATACTATTAAGATGGCTCTAAACAGGAATTTCTATTTTAGAAGTGTTTGACTGCCAGATCATCTAACTGTAATACATTAATTAAAAGTTTCAATTTATTTAAAAGCTGAGGTGATAACATCTGTTATTTCAATGAGATTTTTAATTTTTATAATATAAGCCCGAAATTCATTAAAATTTACAGAATTATTTAACCTGCTGAGTTCTTTAGCTGTTTCTTCTTAAATGCATTTGGAATTACGTGCATTTGCAAGAATATTCAAGAACGTGTTCATATATACACCGCGTCCACATTACCCCACAAGGTTGGGTGAGGTCGCGTCCTTACTTGATCTTTATTTTCGAAACTAGTGTTCTTAGACATATATTTCCGGTTATAGAAATGTTTTAACTGATGCAAAGAATCATGCTTTGGCATTTTTAATTTTAAAGAAATCAATTTTACAAAAATTTGCAAATTGAACATTTTATACTTCCCCCGGTTCCTATACTTATATTTAGGATAATTTCCTTTATAGTAAATAAAGCACAAAAGTTTGACTCCCTACCAAAAACATTTATATTATAGTCAGGGATCACTTACTGATCGGACACAAATTGATGAGCGAAATGTTTGCATTTGTACATAACTAAAAATAAAATATGAGTGTTGGAAAAGGTTTTCTAACTTCGGGAGATTAAGTGGCGAGCATTTCTAAGCAGATTATAATGAAAAGAGTTGTTAATTTATTCAAAATGGTGATCTTATTGATAGGATATTAGAGAATTTCTGTTCTAGAAAACACTGAAAGATTTCAGTATTGGCATGTGTTCAATTCATACTATTATTTGCATAAAAAAAAAAAAAAAAAAAAAAAAAAGAGTCTGAAAGCTTTCAGATTTTACATTACGCCCAAAGGGACTTTTTACCTTTATTTAATAAATATCACGTTCTTCGCACTTAAACCATGAAATTCAGTCCAATAGTAATATTGCAAAATAATTTTAAAATGAGCATATCTTTAGAATTTTCGATACACAGTCTCGCGAGCTGGAGATAATTCCCCCCCCCCGTACAGTGTTGCCATTGCTCGCTTTGATATTGTTGAATTTGTTACTCATAAATTCGTTAACGTTTTACAAAATATGAAACAGATATTAAAACAAATTCCAAATTTGGGCTTCCAGATGCCCATATTCGTGTTATACAAAATTTGATGGCACTAGGTTCCGTTGTGTTATGCGAATGTGAGAAACATACTTACATTTATGCAGATTCTTCATTATTTAATTTCTTTAAATATAATGCAGGGCTCTAATATGTTGTGGCAACAATTTGAAAAGTAAGCCGACATTTATAGTGAACCAAGAAAAATGCCAAAAAGGAATTGACAGCCCTTCTGGACTAATGCCCTTTGGGCTCAAAAAAAAAAAAAAAAAAAAAAAAAAAAATATTATATATATATATATTGTAGTTTTAGGAATTTTTTAACGATTACCAGATTACGATTCTAAAACGTTCTCAGATCTTAAAACACAAAAGTTTCCAAGCATAGTGAATTTGTAGAATATTTTGATTTTTGCAGTTCGCATGATGTCACATGCATATGTTCTTCTTCACAGCATGTCAAGCAAGCAAAATCGTCTATTCTAGTCCATGTCAAGCAAGATTAGCATTTTGCCAAAACATGCCGAGTCACTAGTTCAAATAAAAAAATGTTAGTTTTTTAAGTATGAAGGTAAAAAAAAGTGTATTAGAGATAGAAATGTCTCACTTTTAGATGGTACATATAGTACATGTATTTCCTGCGATTATTAATTTATATAGTACATTTTATATAAAACATTAGCAAATTTTTCGTTTTTTCAAACTCTGATGTCTCTAAATGTCATCATCTTTCCATAATGCGAGAAAAATTACTACTCATTCCTAAATGCTTCATTTTTATAGTAACAAAAGTATTATTACAATTTTGTATTTTTTAATCAAAAACTTAAAAAAAATTCTGCATATTTATTAACTGCCGCACAGGTATGAGAAATAAAATTTAGAAAAAGAAAAAGGTAGTGATTTTTAAATATGGGAAACGTAGTCGCTATTAGTCTACGTAATTTTGATTAAATGCAGTTAGCCATATTTTCGTTCCAGGGAGGGGGTAATGGATCCCCAGCTGTGAATTCTCTGAAATACCAGCATTTAATTATTTAGAATAAAAACTGATGAATTTTTATTTTGATAAGAATTTACTAAAGAAGTAATTTTGATGAAATTACTGAGCATAAAGTAGTAATAAGATTAATTCTAGAGAAATCGACGCGTACAGTCTTGTTTCGAACAATAACCTTACACATATTGTTTCTGGGTCACGTGATATAGATAGAGCCGACCGTACTTTTTACTCCATCCAAGAATTTGTGAATGGGCAGACAGAACAACGGGACCCTCCGTTCTCCAATGAGCTCGCATCTCAAGTGCAAAGCTTGAACGCATGCGCTTAGAGGTGGGATTACTTTAGAGTGAAACATTTATCGCTCTGTTGGCAAAAAGAAGTAAACTAGGAATATTGTTCGAAACAAAGACATTTATCCGCTTTTGAGTTTGTTCTCAATAATCTCAGATAAATTTCGCTAAGCTCCACGATTTTGAGATTGCTGTACAGTACTTAAATTTAGCATTTTTTTTTTTTTTACAGTGAATATTTTCGATCAATTTTCATTATTCTTAATATCAATCAGTAAAATGAAAAAGTATTTTCTGATATGTTTTGCGCAAACAAAATTGTACAATTCCATTTATAGATTTATTAGCTCAAAAATATTTTCAAAGATGTGTTTATGTGAGCTCTTGATTTATTTCATACCTGTAAGTTTGATAATGATTTTCAGAATTTTTCTGATCCAGAGATCTAACACCTTTCAGTTGTTCTTATTTTAACTCGAATTTTATTATTCATATTAATATAATTTTTATTAAAGCGATTTTTTTAGATTTTAGAAAACAGTTAACATTTGTAAAAACGGTTATAAATAAATAAATTAAAAATTATGTATTTTTTTACAGAAATAAACGAGCATGAAAAATCATATATAATACCGTACGTTATTACATATGTGAGTCATTATAAAACCAAACATTAATAGTAAACTCAAAAGTATTACAGAGTGCTTATCAGAGTGAATGCGAAACTTTCACACATTGCTGAATGCTGATGCATTTTCACTAACTCGGTTGCTATGCGCTTTTTGCAGAACAAGGAACATTTCTATGGCGCGTTTTCGTTGGCAGAATACCGACTCTTTGGCGAAATCGAAGTGTCGCTATCACAGCAACCCTACCTGGAGCCATTAGGTTCGCCTCTGGTGTTTAACCAACAAAAGTTTGTTTCTTTCGGTCACAAGCGGTAGAAGACAGTGCACGCTAAAACTAGCATTCCGAATTAAATTCGACAATTTATTCTTAATTCACTTTTATTTTATTTATAATCGAAAGCTTATCGCTAGTTAGTAACATTTGTAATCAGTGGAATATAAATGAATCAAGGAAGTATTCAAATCATTCTTTTTATATATAGTGCACTTGTCTTTGTTTACAAAATTTGAATTCCTGAAAAATGTGCTTTTAAGAGTTAAAAATCCATATATACATATATCTGTCATGGATCTGTTTTGTTGTGAATCAGAATCTGTCACCAAATTTTCTGAGGACTCTGTGTTATTAGAAGATTCTAGGGTTTTTGAAAATTTACTGCAAATAGAAGACCGTTATGTACTGTCATCATGTTATTTTAAATGCCTACAGACTGATCTAAAGCCATATATGAGGACAATTGTTGCTGAATGGATGCAAGAAGTGAGTAAAATATTGCACTATTGCATTCATAAATTTGCAACATGCTAATAATTACATTTTGTGATTCGAATCATGTAGTTATTCTGCTTGACATGCCGGTAGTAAGGAATCAGCTGATTTAGTGCAGTCCTTTTAAATTGCATGAATTTTCAATTTAATTCGCGGAAAATGAATTGGATATATGTCAACGATTTGTTTTTTAATGCGAATGAGGTATAGTTATGATAATATTTTTTTTTACATCCGATCATATGCTTTAGTTTTGAAGTGCATTAATTTAAGAGTTCTGATTAGGCATTTGTTTTAATTAACGTATACGTATCGTAAAAATTTCATTTATATCGAATAGGAATTGATGTTAAATTCTGGTATTAAGCTGTAATCAACTAATTATTAAAAAGTATTATCGAGTTAAAACTTCATACTCACAGAAAGTGTATTCCGAATGCTTTTAATTGATGTTTCTCTTGAGAAAGAGTTTTTTGTTTGCGTTTTTTAGATTTAGAAGTAAATTTAAAATCATATACTTAATGATGTTTAGCGTTTTATGTATGCTGAGGCTCGAAAATTAGTACGTAAACTGTCATGGCTGCCGTTTGTTCTGAACTTTATTTCTTGTTCGTTCTACAGAAATCAATAGAGGTTTTAATTAATTTTAAGTTTATGTTGGAAAAATTTGCGTTGAGACGTAAGTTAATTATATTTTTGCCTTTTAATTCAAGACTTCGATGTGAACTAGATAAAACAGAAATAAAAATCGAAATTTTTAAAATTTTGCGATGTTGTATGAGAGAGATGTAAAAATACATAACTTCTTATTGTTTGTATTTTAGCTTTATTTGTAATGTCATATTTGATATATTTAAATCCTATATTGTGCAAGAATTAATGTCTTTTCCCTTTTTTTATTACTATTTTTTAAGGGAGATTATATGTGAGACAAAAATTTTTAATGCTACATTAATAATATTGAGGTAAAATATACCGTATAAATTTCACGAAACATTTTCATTGCTATGGGAATTCAGGACGCAATTGAGTATGTATGATTTAATTCCTCACTTTCCAAATATATTTCCAAGTGAAGCTTCGGTAAGAATGTTTAGTTTTAGGTAAGATGATTTAGATACTGAGCATTTGGAATGTTAAATGAAATTAACACAAAGGAGCAAAAGTTTCCTTCACGTGTTTTTTTTTCAATAAATAATTAAAAGACTTAAAGCGAAAGAAACATATACAAATCCTAATTAGCAATTTTTAAATGATTATGTGTTTATCTGATACGTTATCACTGTGAAAAAGGAGTCAAATGTATGGTAGAACTATATGATTATTCAAACTAAAACTTTTATTACCTACAAAACATTTATTTTAAACTTCTAAATTAAGTTCTGATTTAATTATTTACCGGTAAGTAACGGATTTTACTTTAAATCATAAGAAATGATTAAATTAAAAATACTTAAAAATTTTAAGAATACAAAACCCATCATGAAATAGGATTCATAGTGCTTTATACCTTTGATTAGCATTTTCATAAAAATCTGTGTTTTACTTTCATATTTTCCCGTTTGTGCAGTTTTTATTAATTTAATTTTTTACCATTAGTTGTATCTAAATGACAGTTATTTCGCATGAATTAAGTATTCATGGTTAGTAAATGACTAAAATTTATAATTTATTTATAATTTAAAATTATGATTTGCTGTGTAAACTTTAATGAACAAAATCTTAGTCATTCCAAAATGTTATTTTGAAATAGATATTTTTTTTTAAAATACATATTCCGTTTTCATTAATGAATTATTTATGAGATGATTTATAAATTTTGATTATATAATTTTATTGCAATTTTTCACGGAAATGGCAACAAAATTGAATAAATTTTTTTTTGTTAGAATTTTAATTAATTCTTGGAATAATAGAATGTAATTATTCAAACCATCTCCGAATTTATAATCCGTAATCTCTATAGTAAATTATGCTTTGTGTCGAAGGTGAAGTAAATTAGTGTTTTAGTCTAAATTTGGAAGAAAAATTTGTACCTATGATTGTATGATGTCGGCCATGATGTTCGTTTTATGAACTTCGTTCGTCGAAGTTTACGAAATGATTAATAATTTACGAGGAGATATTTTTTTATTCCTTAATTGTTGTTTCATGCAGCATTTTAAATTTCTTTATTAACTTTATTTTTATGCCTTACTTCTCCTTTGCTGTCTTGCCGCCCCTCATTTCAAATAATATAGCAAAATTACAAGCGCAGACTTCCCCCTACTTCGATTCGAGGTTTCGATTTTTTTTTTTTTTTAAATTTTACCTAAACAGTAGCATTAAATTCGCAAGTCATGTTTTGTAAAATCAATAAAAAATAATAAATCTCGAAAAATCGTTTGTCAAGACAAGGCTGTTGCTGATTTCCTTTTTATTTCTTTACAGTTATAATATAAAGATGCTGAAAAAGTTCATATAGCAATGAAGTCGAAAATGTACATCAGATTCTGAAGTTATCAAAAGCGCACTTACGCTCATTTGGTTTTACGCTCTGCAAAATTGTCGAGCAGTAAATGAGGAATACTATCGTATTGAGTGTCAAAGATATTTGGTAACTAAATTTTTTATTGAACACCTTATTTGACAAGGTATTCCTGTAAAGATTTTTAGCAAAATTAAACAATAATTCGCACTTAAAAGCAGTTACGTTGGTAATGTAGCAGTTAATGGTAGCTTGGCAAAATTCACGTTTAGAAGGAGTAAAATTTTACGATGTCTTCATTTTTCGAACTTCATGAAAATTACTTCTTTATTTATATTATTCATTTTAGCTAATCAATTTATTTTAACTTCTTAAGATTCTTATAAATTCTACATTGCCAAACGAAATGCCGTTAAATTGTGCGTCTGAAATTAAAAATTATTTTAATTACGTTATCATATATTTTTCTGCTTTGATTTCCATATCATCGATTAACTAAACATACATTAAAAAAGATTTTATACCATATATCATAGGTGAAAAGGTCGGTGAAGATGATAAATTCTTTAATCAAATATGTCATTTTCTTTAAAATAGCAGTGCAGCTTAATTCCTTTCATAAGATGGCTACGCATTTAATACTCCTTGATTACGTTTGGTAGATGACAACGTGTGTCATTGGCCCTTTTTTTTTAGAGAATAAAAAGAAAATGGTTGTCTGTGTATTACCGAAAAGAATTTCAATATCTATTCATAAATGTATGCATTCAACAATAAATTTTCGCCGATGATAACCACACACTTCAGGCGTGGCGCTTTAAATGGCTGTCTCAAAAGAATTCCATGCCGAAGCAGACGAATTCTTTCTTGTCTCCTTTATTATCCCTATTGTGCTTTTGAATTGTAGTAAGTACTAAGTATAACATTTCAATTCACGAATTTATGGCCATTTTCACACGCCACAAGCCAAGCTTTAACAATGAATTCCATAACTGTACTTTAAAAGTGATTTTCTACTCAGCGAAATGAATGACACGGACGATGCAATGCGCAGCTTAACCGTGACCGTACCCTAGCCGTAGCTCTGTCGGCCATCTTTTATGATGTTAAATCTTCGTAGAAATGCAGTTTTGGACAGTTTTCTCACAAGCTTATCGTTTTATTAGTTTTGTTTTCGTTAAAAAGGAGACCTTTTTCTCACGGCACTCTCGTAAAAAAGTTTTCTTCGTACGTCGAATTGGAACTTCCGTCTTTTGTGTGGGACACGCATCAAAACTTTCTATTATAGATGCGATCATTGAATCCAGACTTTTTTTTTTACTTCAGTTTTTATCATTTTTCCCCCCCTCTGCTTCGTACATAAAACTTGGTCGATGATTATTGCCGAAACTGTATAAGAGGTCTGGATTTTTGTTTTCAATTACTCTTCTGAAGTATAATCGAATGATTTTATAACCTTTTGAGATTGAATGATTTGATAACATATCCATCCCTATGTCAAAATTTGGTGCACTTGAGAATTATTTTTGAAAGATAGAAAATATTAAGGAAAATATTGCTTTTATTAAGGATGAAACCCTGAATGGATGAATTAAATTTGTAAATTTAATAAACGTCTCCGCTGAACTGGTTCGCAGTCTTTGCGTACGCGTTAAAGAATGTATCACGAAATTCATATCAAGCCTTTTCTTTCGAAAGCAATCGCAGTAAAGTTATTTTAATAGCAAGATTGATATGCACTTTCTGCATCGATTATTTTTTAATATTACTTTAGTTTTCAAATGAAATGTTTTTTCCTGTTTTGGCTTTAGATATTAAATTATTCTTGAAGAATGTAAAATTTAAAAACTGTTATGTACTTCTTAATAATATTTTGATGCTTTTCGATGGCAACACAGTTTCCTAATATAAGTACCATTAATCTTTTTTTTTTTTTTTTCTCGTCTTTTGTTTTTAACATCTAATGGCGGGCACATGCCTATAAGTGGCCAGAAATGGTGGCCATTTTATTGTGGAGCCAACTAACAGGCTTTCATTTACACATTTCTTTCGCCCATTTTATTTATTATAATTCTGCACATAGATAGTATTCATTGTAAGCCAACATTCCGATTATATATATATATATAGTATAATAACAATAATAATAAAAAACCACCTAACTGTTTTGTATTTTAGGAAATTTAATTTCTTAATTCCAATTACTGTTCACGTCATATTCAGTTAACATGTAAGAGTAAATGTTTCACATCTTTTTTTTTCCCCCAAGACTTCTGTGGGAATTTTTTTTTTTTTTTTTTTTTTTTAATGAGCTGTATCATGTTATGCTGAAAAACATATCAATTTAGTCGTGTTTCTGCTTTCAAGCTCAGATAAGAAGTATCGCTGAGCAAATTTAATTTATTTTTATTCACGTAACTTCATAAATGTAAGTCTACTTTGTTTCTTTAAATGCAGGAATTCAATGTTTTATTCCTTTAAATACGGGAAGTGCTTAACGTAATTTGAAATACAAACTTTTTGAGAACACGCATTTGTCACGATTTTACAAACGCAAGCTTTATTACGTACTCGGTAGCTAAGTCGACATGTTTACCCAGAAAGTGATAGCGTTTTTCTTTTAACTAATATCACGGATATTTCGATTAAAAAGTTTATTTTATTTTAGGGATTTTTCCCCCTCGAAGTGAAGGGGTTGTCACCAAATTTGATTATTCTTTCCTCTGATAAGCTATGAATTAAAATAACAGCTTGTAAACGGATATTTAAATCACATTCAATTTCAATGGAATTTTTTTTTCAAGCATGCTGGAACTGCCATATTAATATGTAAATTGCGTTCTGAAGGGAGTTTTATCTCTTATTTATTTTATTAGTCATTTTGATATTTAAGAAGAAGGAAGGTAATGAAATTGTCTTCTCTTTTCGCATTTAATGTGAAGGTGGTGTAAGATCTTCCATTTTCCAAAATATAACTCCTTTTCTTATCAAGGCAAAATAGAGTAAGCGATTCGTAATGATACATTACAAAAAGTTTTATTAATGTTTATATTATAAAAGACATGTCTAAAGCGCTATGTTTTACCACTTCCGATTCTAAACGTCTTTGTAATGTTTCTATTTATATATTATGAAAAATACAATTCTAGAATTTTAATAATAAAAATTTAGTTGCTATCGTCCGTATGTCTTTCATTTTGGCGTTAGAAACAGCTATATTTTTAACTCTATAACTTACAATTTTATTAATATTTAAAATTGGCGTTATTAATACACTTTAACGCAATATCTTCTATGCTATGCTGCAAAATAATCGATTTTGTTAGATGTCGACAATAGATGATATATTCATTTAAAAAAAACACAAAAATAAAAAAGAGAATCGAAATATTTATCCTGTCCAATTGAATGACTGGTAATGAAGCCAAAATATGGGATGTTCCACTGTGTGAAAGTGGAGTATGTTGTGAATGGAAGGGCCGCCAGGAAGTGGGTAATTATGACCCACTCCTCCGTCTAACTCCGTCAAGATGGGATATGATATACTCCCGGGTTTCTCGTAATTCCGCTGTTAAAATACGCTCTGTCTCATTTTCATCGCTTTCCGCGGAGAACGGATGAACGTGAGAAAGAATCGTTCGTTTGTCAACTGCTGAAGTGCTTCAATGCCAGTTGCGGTACATTTTTTTTTTTTTAAATATTTTTTCCATAAGCGAGTTTGTGGATATGTGTGAGGACTTTTGTAACACAAAGGCAAAATTCATCTGTAGTGGAATGCTGGAATTAAAAAGATAATTTTAAATATCCTATTTAGTGATAATGAGTGGATATCCAAACTTGAATAAATTGAAAGTTGGGCAAACTTATGTTAATTAAATACAAATCTTAAATTTCGTACGTGCTGTAGATAAATGAACAGTATACTTCGTATGGCTTTGAATTCCATGCCATTGTAAGTTGACTGAATGCTAGTTAGTTTTCTATAAAAACCATATAAGGGCAACCAGGAGATAAAAAATATTACACGTAATTATTTTGGTATAAGAACGGAGGACTATATGCGAATCGGGCTGAAATGGGAATAAATTTGTCTGCGCTGAGTTGAAGAAAGGCCGAACCTATCAGTATCAGCGGCACTTTAACGCAGGCTGTCCAGTGTTCGCTTCGGCATAAATAAGCTATTATTTTTATGAAGATCATTTAGAACTAGCAGCTTCTTTTACGTGCCAAGGTATCACTTTGCAGATAGTGGGCTATAGTTTCCTATAGTGATTAAAGGAAGAAAAATCCTGTTTGTGTAGCATTGCACAAGCGTGACATTCCTGGGACCTTTATAGAAATCACCCTTTCAAACCTTTAAAGCTGAAGGTAGCATTTGCGTCGAAGAGAAAAACTGATCGATTTGGTTTTTATAGTGTGGCATAGTTATGTAACGTTTTTCTTGCATGTGCTAATTGATTTGCTTTCCTTCATACGTCAATTGATTGAACTTTGTTTGTCTTTCAGGTGTGCGAGGAAGAGCGTTGCCAAGATGAAGTGTTCCCTTTAGCCGTCAATTGCCTGGACAGGTTCCTTTCTCTGGTCAGGGTACAAAAAAGTCAACTACAGCTCTTAGGGGCTGTTTGTCTCTTTCTAGCCTCCAAATTGCGCCAAAGCAGGCCACTAACTGCGGAGAGGCTGTGCCTCTATTCCGACCACTCCATTACAGTTTCGCAGCTAATAGTAAGTAACTTCTGCTGTTGGTTCATTTCTTTGTATTTATGTAGTACTTGTAAATCAAACATGGGAAATGCAACTTTTGTTGGCAGTGCAGCAGAGGTTTCAGTTAGAAAAGCTCTCACCTGACAGGATTCAGAAACATTTCTATTCTGCTGTTTGTTTCTTTAAAATAAGCACTTCAAGGCCATTACCACCCTCCCACATTTGCTACTGGGTATATCATATCGTCATCACCGCTTATTTTCTCCATCCCATCTGAAACTGTTAAGTCTTCACTCAATCGCTTTTCGTAAACGAGACGCTTTAAAGGGAAATGAAGTGGAGGAGAAACAGTAAGCGATTGAAATCTGCAGTTGTTATTCCCATGGTTACGAGGCAAGTCTGGAGGGGGGGAAGAATAATATTGAAATTCCTATGTTAAAGTAATATACTATGTAGCGGAGCTAACTTTTGGAAGCAGAAGGGAAAGTAGAAGCTGTATATAGTGTGCAAATGATATGCTCTGTACAGAGTAGCAGCAAATCATGTATGCGTTATATATGTGTGTAGTATATAATATGGTATATGGGTATAGAACATAGTGAGTGTAGTTTTTATGTACAGTGTATGTTACAGTATTTGTGCATAGTATATCTATGTATGTATTATAGTACATGTAGTATCATTCGCTTTGCAAATCGTTTAAGAACTTTTCACACAAAGACATTAAATAAATTGGCTTATTAATTCATAATTTGACTCTTTAAACAGGATCTACCAATAATGTTGATTCAGCCAATTTTGATAGCAGCTCTATAAACCTCTCTCTCCACCCCAGGGCGAATTAGAGTTTTGGAATTTTTCATTTATAAAGTTTATTGAGGCCAATTAATCTTTTAATAATGTCGAAACTGAAGGTAAATGTGAAAAACTGAACTGGAATGTTGTGCAAATTGCATACGTTTCTCTTCCAGCGACATGCATCTGGAAAGCCTTTAGAGTTTATCAATGATTATTGTTTCTGAATGTGATTAAATTCGAAAGGAAAAACATCCGTCTCAACAAGAAAGGAAAAGAAAGACTGGTGATCGTTTCGCAAAACTATAAATAAAGCCGATCCGCGTCGAGCGCGTTTTGCGTTGGAATAGTAGAAACAATACCAGATAATACATTGTTTTTTTAAAACAATATTCAGGTCGAAAAGGGCAGGGAAAGTAAAAATGAATCAGTTAATTTCCAGCTTATCGAATCCTTTCAAATTAACTTCGGCTAAGTGTGATTTATTTTGTAAGTTGGTATAAGTTTAACGAGCTTTGCTTAATTTAATGTTTTACTATTATTTTTGTGGCTGTGAAAAGGTAATTTTGTTAAGTGAAATCCTGAAATTAGTTTATTCTCCTTTTTTTTTTTTATTCTTTCCTTTTAGAAAAGAAATTAAAAAAAAAAAAAAATTATAAAGATATAGCCTGTAGAACCTATCAACACTCTTGGAATAAGTACATCAGACTCACCTTATTACGAATCTCCAACTTCCGAACTATCTTATTGATCCTTAAAAATACTTATGGTTATCCAATGTTAAATCCTTACAATTGCCCTAATAATTTAAGATTACTTTCAGACTACAGTGTCTTATTTAATGATACTGGAGCTCAGGTGGAAACATTATAATTATTAATGACATTGGGCTTCAAGCTGCTAATAATTTAAAATTACTTTTACTGCTAATTATTGAAAATTACCACAATGACTTACTTATGAGATTGGAACTTAAAATGTATTTGATTGCATCCTTACTGCCTTGTAAGAATTATCGGAGTATGTGTGACTGAAGTGTAAATGACTATAACAATAAAACAGTTCTCTTTGTGGGAGTGTGCCCACCCCTCCGTTGTTCGATTTTTATGGTTTTACAACTAGTTGCTTTCTTTTTTGTCATCGTAGGAGGGGTGTTTTTGTGAATGACACTTCAGATAGATTCTTTTTGCCTTCTGGATGATGCATTTGGTCGAACATCTGCTTTCATGGGATGCATTGCAGGAACAGTAATTTATCTTTAGCATGGTGGTAGGAAGTTCAGGAAAGTATACTAGAGATAAGAAAAGAGCAAGGGATTCTAGGTTTACCTACTGTGCTGTAAATTTACGTGATACTTCCTTTCTGTCCTTTCCCAAGAGGGTTTCTAATTGATTTCATTATGGCAGCTCTAGCACTGAAATAAACGTGCGTGTGGAAGAGGGATGTTGGATTTTTGTGTGTGATTTTTATGCGAGATACTTTAAAAATATCGCACTATTAAAATAATGAAAGGTATAATTGAAAAGTTAAAAATAGCAGGAGTGTGTGAAAACATGAGCATTTTGAAAACAAGGAGGCTTAAAGAAAAGAACAGTACAAACTAGTTGAACGACGCTGAAACAGTTATTTTCTATTCAGGCATGTAACATATGGCTTTAAAAATATAATTTATTTAAAATAATGCTAATATTCATAAAAATTGTTTGCTGCAATATTTAAATGTATTTTATTTTATATCAAAGGTACGTTACTAAAAAAAGTAAAATTAAGATTTAAATTTTTAAGAACTTTGTTTATTGCTTTTTAAATCGCTCTTTTGTTTAGCAATATATTAATAATTCGAAATATAAATAAATAACATCGGCAACAATTTTTAATTTTTTCCATACGAGCGAAATGAAAAATGCGTGATATGAAAACAAAAAATACTTTTAAGTCCACAATGCGAATGTAGTACTTTTCATATTCATATGCCATACTAATGACGCAAATTATTCTAGAAATAAAGAGTAGTGGCACATCGTGTTATGTGCATTGAATACATTAGAGTTGTTTCACAAGAAAAAAATAAAGTAAAACTAAATTTATAATTATTTTTATTTCTTTGCAATTAAAATTTTTTAATTAAATTTAAAATTTTAATTTTATGTTTGCTTTATACGAATGAAGATTACATAAGTTATATTTCGGGAAGCGCGTCATTATTTCCGTAGTCACTGCGCTAAAGTTCTTTTTATATCAATATTATGGTTGAGAATTTCGCGAAATCGCCTTTTAAACATCGCAAGATTAAACGATTCCATTTATTTGCATGAATAAGATCGATTGCCGAAGGTCTTGGAAACAGCTAAAAGAATCCTCGCATTCTCCCTTTCCAAAATACACGACTCCAGACGGGAAAACGACTCTCCTCCCCGACCGCTCCACATCCCATTCGTCGTTCAAGTTCTTTTTTTCCTTTCCTAACCTTGATCTTGAAAGTAGAAAACACGGCATCCAAGAAAATGATACGCTGTGTCCTTTATGCATTTGGTAGGTCCACCTACTACTTCGCGAACCCGATGCTACTATGTTGCCACAACTTCGATTCTGTTTTATTTATCTTTTTTGATTTAAATTTGTCCCGCCTACGCATTGTCGCACTCGAGTTATCAAGAGGCAAAGTAGAAAAATAGGGGGCGTCTATCTAAGTAAGGTAAGCGAAAAGTAAAATTGGTTTGATGAGGGACTTCCTGTGGGAAAAGATCAGCATGGCTGCATCGATGCTCCCGTTGCTTTTTGACTTCCATGAGAACTTCTCCATTTATGGGCTAAGCGGTGAATGAAGCGTAAAATACTAGTAGCAACATAAACGGGAGCTGGAAAAGATTACTCTTTGACGGATGGCGAAAGTGACCGAGTTATAAAAATGAGTCTTCAGTCAGTTTGGCAAAATTTTGCAAGTAGAATATTTAATATCGATATCAGGCAGAGGGAAAAGCTTTGAGAATAATAATGTCGTCGCAAATCTCCGAAGTCAAGGATAAATCTAATATACACATCTAATTTGCATATAGTGGTTCAGTGGTAATTCCGTCTTAAAAAAATAACCAGGCTACTTTTAACGGATTGAGCCTGACTACGATACCGAAGGGCCCAGGTTCGAATCTCGGAGAAGGCATGGATTTAAATTGTCTGTCCATTTATTGGAGGCAAAGGTGGCACACCTGTTAGGTGCCTCCATAATAAAGAGACCACCACATCTGGCCTTAGGAGTGGCCAATGCCGGCATAGGCAAGAGCCCGCCGTTGGGGGGGGGAATGTTTTAACGAATTTATTTGAGTACTACACACACAATAAACTAATCTAATTTGTAGTTGCTCTATTGTTTAACACGTTATTTTGTACGATTCTATTTTAAAACTGCGATGTTTTTGAAACGCTACGCCTAATGTTTTTAGATCTGTGATGTTTTCTTTCACGATATTTTGTATGGCGATGTTCTGCGTTGTTTTCTTTTCGACGTTTTACGTCCGCGATTTTTTTGCCTTATCTGTATGGGGGTAGAGGATGAATGATCTTGGCTAGGATTTTAAAGTTTTAAATGATGGGCCTTGAGGAATGCATGTAGTAAAGAATACTAATCGGAGAAATTCTAAAATCTGCTTGTTTGGCGTCCGTTTCCCGAAGTCAGGGTTCAAGGGAATACTGTCGAAATAAATCAAAAGCTTCCAAATCCCGTAAAAAAAGAAATTAGAGGGAAAATTACCGAGAATGCGGCACACGATTAATACAAAAATGAAAGAATCCTAAAAATGACCGTCTCTGTAACCACACACGATTGACACAACAACTCAGAAATTGGTTTCGACCCTTTGCAGGTACCCTGAAAAATAATAATTTAATCAACTTATTTCTATCTTCAATATACGCTGTTATAAGTGTATGTATCTGCTAGCTATTGTATGTCTTTTCGATCCTATGCCGTATCGATCGCATGTGTTAAAATGAATGTTAAATGAATGCGTTTAAATAAATAAAATGTTGCCTTTAAATGAACAAAATGTTGCTACAGTGTTTAGGTGTTGATACTATGCAGTGTTTCTATGGCTCTGTTGATTCTAAGCTCTGCCAATAGGTATGCCGCTGTGGACCCTACGAAGTCTAGATCAAATGCCTGTGAAGACTGTTCAATTTGCTGTGTTACAAATGTACTTTAATCTTCAAGTCGCCCAGCTGGTGTAGTG